AAAGTTTACACGCTCTTAAATAATGAAGTATTTTTATTTTTTTAATGAAAGAAATAAAATTACATCTCTTCGACTTTGAGGTTCGAACGAAAGCTTATATAAAAGTATACGTCAAATGCAAAATGAGAATAACAAAAAAGAAATAGAGATACTCGGCTTTTGAGCATCAAGCTTTTGTATTGTATTTGGAAGTAGTCGAGTTTCTTTATTTAATTATGAATCGATTCTCGTTTTATAACTGTCAGGTTGAGTAGTCACCTGCAGATTTAAAAGTAGCGAATGTCGAGTCCTTTAAGATAGAGATCGTATCGTTATCGTATTGTAGTATTTTCCAGGACGATAAATCTAATAGAGATAAGTAGCTGCTTCCGTTTTCCCGTAGCCACCAGCTGGTGGTTTCTTCCATCCCTTCGGTCGTGCCTTTCACGCTCTTTTGAACGAGCAACTGGATATTTAGAGTGCTCGAAAAGAAAAGGATAGGCAGAATGTAGGATTGAAAAGTTAATAAGTCTTAACCGTAAAAAGTAAGGAAAGCAGCGACCCAAGTGCAATGACCAAGAGCAACGAGAAGATTAATGTAATTGACAAGAAAAAGTTGTAGAATGATGGGGGAAAAAATCGAATGTAATTGTCAGGAAGAGAAAAAAAAGAAATGGTAAATGAAGACAGTGATATAGGTTGAAAAGGTAATTGCTCACTTAGGGAATGAATTAATTCTCTTCTAAAATTGTATTTGACTTAATTTTCATAATAGCCGTTTCATCATTTCATGTATATTATTACAATTAAGTACAAATGGAATTTAGACTTTTATATATTTGACATGAACATTATAATTTCTCCTTGTTTATTTGTTTTTTTTTTTCTCTTTTTTTTTTCTTTTTAGCTATTGACACAATGTTTGCAGCGTATAAGTAAAACACTAGGTAATTGATCATTGTATTTTTTCTTCTTTGTAAATATAAAATTCTCCTTATATAATGAATACATGATGATGTGAAGGATATTGGCTTAACTGTGTGAGACAAAATAAATATTGTGGAGTGAAAAGAGCGAATGTAAATAGTATAACAAATTGAACTTTTTAAAAATCGACTATTTATGTAATTCAATTTCTTAATCGCTATACGAATTTATAAGATAAATTATTTATATGAACGTACCAATCAATCTTATTGTGATAATATAAAGAAATAAAGAGACGAAGAAATGAAAAGTAATAAAGTCTTTTAAGCAATTTTGGTTTTAAATATGGAAATGATTGTTTAATCGGATACTTTTAAATTATATATATATATATATATATATATATATATATATGTATATGCGTGTCTTTCTCTTTTTAAAAAACGTGAATAAATAGTTATCGCAAGTATAAATATATGCTAAATGTTAGATAGAGTTAAATGTCGAGTATAAAATGGAAATGTTAAGGACAACAATGAAGCTATTTAAAGCGAAATTTTCATAAATTTCACCGACGGCACGTATTAATTCAATTTTTAGCTTACATTGTAATATCTGTCGTTTCCATAAATCAAAGCATTCTGGAAAAATTAATCACAGTATTAATCGCACACGAGTAGTTGCTCGTTAAATAATTAAGCCCTTTTGTATGAAAAAGCTTGGGCGAAAATTCGATTTGCGCACGAGATACGAACGAGCGCCCGAAATATCGCAATATTAACTGTTTAATAACATTTCGGCTGGACATAAATGAACAGTGGCAGTGGCAACCATGCTGAGCATTCTATAATGGCAGCCAGAATCCTACGGAATGACCAAGCAAGCAGGGCAGGAGGCCACGCTCGTGGCTCTCTTTAATGAAAATTAAACGACCTGTTCAGCGCGAGCGTAATTTCATATTGTCTAGGCGAAAAAGACAAACAAAAAAAAAATTCAGCCAGAAGGAAAATAAGATTTATCGCCCGAAAGGAGTGAAACGAGCGGGAGAAAGACCCAAGGGGGGGGGGGGGTGCAGTTATTGTTGGTAATAATGAAACTCGTAAACTAAGCGAGAGGAAAATGAGAGGGCCGAGCGAGTGAGTACACGTGGATAAATACAATGAGTTCACGGGGGTCGAACTTTTTCGAGCCGAATTATCAAGAAGAAGGCAGCGTGCAGTCGGAGATTAATTAAAGCGCGAGGAGTTATATAATATGCTTCTAATCTACGATCGTCCGTCTTGTGTGCAGATGCAACGCCAAAAGAAATTGTTAACGAAAAGCTTCGGCGTTTTATTTATCTCAGATCACTTCCCAGCCCCGTGCGATTTATTTTAAAGTGAAAGAGTATAAGAATGGAAGTGTAATTAAAAGCTTCGTTCCTTCCTATTACCTAGCGGTGCGTAAAATTGCAAATTGATTCTATTAGCTCTCTGTGCTTCTTTTTTTCACACCTTTTTAATTGCTAAAGAATAAATTCCGCGATTCGCACTTGGGGATTAAAGAATATTGCTATTCGATTTTTGATTTTCTATAGAGTATTTTGACTTTATATAATCTGATTATTATACGCTGGAAATGCTAGCGAATTCGAAAATTCTTTAAAATTTTATATACTCTTGCTAATAAAAATGATAAAGTTCCATATACTGTGAGAGAAAAATACAAATTTGATGGCATATTAACTAATTTAAACATTCAAATAATGAATGGAGCATTGTATTATGCTCGTGAGAAGTAGCATAGAAGCATAAAGAATGACACTTTATAGGGATTTATTAATTTTAAAGATATAATATAAAAATAAATGTCAGAATATTTTATTAAGATAAAAGTAATCCTATTAGTACAAGTCTGTCGATGTACAAATTTTGATTTTAGAAGAATTAAATCGAGCTCCTTTCTTCGAATAACGAGTAATATTATATCAATGTCAGTGTAAAAATAGTGTAAAAATATACGGAATTTAATAATCTAAATATTTATAAATTTATGATATCTTATCGATATCTTTCAATGTTGCGTTGAATCAATTATTTTATCCGCTTGTTTTATATTTATAAATAATGTGAGAAAAGATCCAATTCAATCAATTTTTAAAATGATATCCTTTGGCATTGCTGGTAGTATTTGATATCAGCGATAGTATAGAAATACCGCGGATGCGTAAAATTGATTAGAAGCCAATATAATAGGATAATTGAGAATTTCATTGAAAATAATCAATTCTTAATATTACCGTTATGTTACTTCTTGACATTAGATATTTATTCATAATATGCAATATTAAAAATTAATGCAATTCTCTTTTCAAATAAAATCGTTTCGATGATTGTCAGATCTGTAATTAAATTCAAATCCATAGGATACATAGGTATTTATCATATTCATTGGTACATAGCATTTGATAGATAGTACATTCCATAGTCTGTCATAAAATGTAATCTAAAGTCTATGTACGCGACAGAGTATACTGCACTAGAAAGAATGAAGCAATCACAAGGTTATCTAATGACAGAATTCAAAGCTCCTCCAATGGAATTTTCTACGCGTGCTTAGTTTTCTAATCTATCAGTCGAAAATCAACGGCACCTTTAATTACAGTACTTTCATTGCTCGAATAACGATTTCTATTCCAGTTTTGCCGCGTACAATTACAAAAGCCAACTTAATTACTTAATTACTAGCTGATTTAACTGGCTTCTTTGACGCTCGCCCAATGCTGCATTTTAACTTGTTCAATACACTCACCTTTACTGCACGACCATTAATCTACGTATTAAATGCTAAAAGGAATCTTTGCTCATTTTTCATATAAAGCTCCATACATTTGAATAATTTATAGATGAGCAATATAATACTTATCATGCAAGCCATAAATACATAAATATATTATTATTTAGCGAAGACATTAATATTTAATCTATTGATCCTTAATATAAACACTGATAAAAATAATTATTTTAGTTAAGAAAAAATAAAAAAGAATCAGATCAAATGAATATATTTTATTTTTATTTTATTCACATTGGATGATAAACATTTTTTTTTTTTATTTTAGTAAAAAAAATCTTGTAAATGTATTTTTTTTTTGCTTTAAATTTTTTACCACGACAAATGATATATAAAAGCTATAATAGTCGTTAATATAGAAGTAAAAAATATTTCAGATATTTCAACTTCATAAATTAAAAGAATTATCTAGTTCTATTTGTATGTATATGATATCACACACACACACACACACACGCGCGCGCGCGCGCGCGCGCGTATAGCACATTGATCGTCATGTACATTTATTACGGCGGACAAATTCTTGCTAATACTACTGAGAAGATATGCAATTCGTTGATATTTATGTTCGTTTATTGAAATTTTCAATTTTCAAATGAATTTTCATAAATGACTGATTTAATGCTGACATATTTACTTGTTTTATGAAAATGAATTTGTAAGACATGCACATTTTATATATTCAATAATTGATTAATTTAAAATACTTTATGAATAATTCATAGGAATTAAAACACAGAGGAAGAAAATATTCTCATTTAACAGAAAAGTACATTTTTCCTCAAACGTGATAATTAATGAAGCTAATTGATAAGTCACTTAAAATTATTTAAAAATTAATTAATATATCAAAGTTATTTCTACTGAAATTTATTATCCACAATGTATGTTAATATATTCTGAATAATTTCCACTTATATCAGAATATCGATCAAGTATGAAACATATTTAAAGTATTATCAACATAAAATCGAAGCGATTAATTAATTTTATGGTCCTAACATTTTTGTCAAAAAATTTGCTTTTTATTTAACAAATTCTCCTGTAAATTAACAGATTACAAACGGCGGGCTGTTTAAATAAAAATTTGACAATTATTTATAGAAGATACTTATTTAATAAGGATAGTCAAACGTTTTTCAGACTTTAGTAATGAATATTTTATTGCTTAATCTAGCACAATGGCAAAAATTAATAAATGCAACGTTTAAAATAAATTCTGCAATTTTAGCAACCAAGAAATGAATAATAGTAGAACTTACCGGACGTATCGACGAGGTCGGCGTCGAGATTATTGAAGCCACAGCGACTGAGGAAGAGGAGCGACAATAGCGATAGAGAGCAGACAAGCACGAGGAGCCGCGACAGCAGCCGAACTCCCAGGACGCGCAACATTATATCCCTTCGTCGCCTGCAATCAGTCGAAGCGAGAACCATAGGTGAGACATATTCTCTCTCTCTCTCTCTCTCTCTCTCTCTCTCTCTCTCTCTCTCTCATTGTCGCTCTCGCTTTCACTTTCATTCAGTCTCTATCTACCAGTCTCTGCATTGCCCTTTCACTTACTTGACATGATTCAATTTACAAACACCCTTTAGGTGAATCTCCCGTAATTTATCCCTCCCCTGATCTATAAACTCGTCTTATAGTAGGATAAGCCTATAGCTGCACACTGCTCGATTACATGGATCGCGGATTTGAGAGACAAAATTAAACAAGTGACATGTACGTGTAGAATACATCGCAAGCAAATTATCGGCTTTTACCTGCTGAGGAATAGTTGGATCGATGTTCTAGGCATATGTCAGTTTGTCGAACGTCTACAAGATTATTGTAGTTAAGTATTGAGGATAGTTTATGTAAGTGAATTGAACAGAGTGGATGACGTGTATTTTTCCCATTCTTTCTAAATTTTTTTTTTTTTTTTGTTTAGTATTTTTAAGACTGTCAATTCGCACATTCAACACAATATTAATCACAGTCACCTTGCTCAATTAATTCAATAGCTATAATTTAGAATCGAAGGCTATTTTAAATTATTTTCATAATCAAGTATAATATCAAATGATACAATGATTTATTGAAAAATAGTATAGGAAAATTTTGGTAATTATTCAAGGATAATTGAAAAATTGTGATGATTTTTAAGCTTTTATTAATTAAGATTTTAACTTGTTAAATTTTGCATTAAATTTTATCTAAGAATTGTTTAAATCAACACAATTAATGATCAATAGATTTTTGTAGATCATATATATATATATATATATATATATATATCAAATATTAGTAGTAACTTTATAAAAATATTGGTTATATATACTATATTTGTTTAATAATACTAATACTATTCTTTTATGAAACGATTTTATAAAGTTTTTCATTATATGAAAAATAAAGAATGAAGTTTGCAAAAACTCTTTTTATGGGACGGTGATTTCATAAAATTTTATTTAATAACAAAAGAAAACCTAGTCGTTTAATAGAAAGTGAAGCCAATGAAAATCAACATAGTTTTTCATGAAATAAACTTTTACAGAAATTAGAAGAGATAGTCACGGAGCCAAATAATGATAAACCTCAGGTTTCGATACGAAAATTAGCTTTAGTGTATCACTGTGATAGTCACATAAGTCTAATTACTGAAACAAAATTGATAATAAGAATTTAAAGATATTACAGTAACTGGATCTTTACGGATAAAATCTATTAGAATAGACTTATTTATTAAGTTTCGTTTAACTCTGTCATACTTTCTAGTATTTATGACAAAATATATATATATATATATTACTTCATCTAATATGTATTTGTATAATTAATCTATATATCTTTTTAAATAAGTATTTCAATGAAATTGAAAAAAAAAATTATGTTATATCTATTTATTCTGTCAAATATCTTATTAATATAAAATGTCGTCGTTGATTTATCTTAAATATTATACAAAAATTTCATTTACATGTATTTAAAAAAAGTAATGACTTAGCAATAAGGAAAGTCTAGCTCTGAACTTCTATGCCAGATTTATTAACTATTTAAACTATCTGAAAATAATATTAACTATTTTCTTAATTATAATTGTAAATAGCTACAAAGAGCATTTACTGGAAAACATTTTAAAATAAATATTTCTTACTGTTAAAGTATTTTAAGATTTTTCTTTTCATAATAATGATAAATGTTTTATTAAATTAAATAAATCAAATTTGGAGAATAAATGTTCGAAATATTTTATAAATAGATTTCCATTCGTCTGTTAAAGTTTCATGATAAAAAATAACAAACATACTGTGATAAAAAAAAAACATATAAAAATTAAAAATTATTCTTATAATCGTATAATCAACGAAAACATTAAACACTTTAAATTAACGAACATGAAACTTAACTACTTAACATAACTATAAACATTAAGCAACTACATTAATGATAAATTAGTGAAATTTGAAACAATTTTACAATAATGTAAAATATATAATGGTAGCATGATCGTTCTATTTCGTGTAATGAATCTTAGTTGAAAAGGACAGACGTAATAGAGAGCATTGGTAGTTTGATTGAATGGCGATGCATTGAAAGGGGTGGGGAGGCCCATCTGTAATTCTCGCTTTAATAACATCAAATACCTTTTTTGAAATTTCCACCATTTTTACGTGACAATATTTAGTAATAAAGATTGATTAACACATTGTTCTTTATCATTGTAGAGCTGAATGTACTATAAATAATTGAAAGAATCAAAAACATGACTTACACTAATTAGATAGTTCAGATATTAATTAAATGTCTAAAATAACATAAATACATTTTAGAATATAATTTCGTTAACTTTCTTATAAAAGGAAATACATAGCTACAGAATTTCTAAAGAACTCGTTGAATGAGATAATTCAAGCACTAATAAATGCATAAATTATGCTACATCCTCTTTAAGTATATTGCATTGTATACAATTTAAGTGTTTGCATACATTTCCAAGATCCCCAGCCAACTTTTCTATAAAGCTACATCAATATGTAACTAACTTAGAACTTTCATGCGTAGCACACGTGAAAATGTGATTCATGATGTTTAAAAAGTAATTTATATTATAATTAATTATTACAGGAAATCTCCAACACTATCGCCTATTTATCAATATTACTAAATCCTTAAGATCACCATATAATATAGTAATATTATAATGTATAATATATAATAAAATATATGTAATAAAAGAAAATGTTTTTATTATATGATGTTTCTGTTAATATCATTTTAAATTAATAATATTAAATTCATTTATTTTTAAGCTATAATATCTTTCAAAATTATTCAAGAATATTCTACAGTTGTTATATTTATTTAAATAATAACTTAGTTATTCATTGGTTTCATATCGATGAAATTTTTTAAATTTTGTTTAATGCACTTAATAAGTCGTAGGTGATATTTTTATAAAACCTATATTTAAGTTACAATCCGATTCATAAAGAGAAAATAATTATTATTTTCTATGATTCAAATAAATTTCTCACTCGAGGTTTATCAATCGCACTAATTATTTGAATAATAAACTAGTTCCCTCATTGATTACAAACATACGTTTTTCCAAAACTTTCTCTTATTTCTTATATTAATATTTTTATTTTCTTGAATTATATATATTAAATGTTACTGAAAGACTTTATTTTGATATTTTAAAGCTGCTTTAAAGTCTCCACTTTCTCAATTTTTAATTTTATTAATATGAGATTAGGAAACTTTGTTATTTATACAACTTACTTGAATTTGCTTTCTTATGAATTATATAATCCAATCATTAAACCATCTAAATGATAAAAGTTTAATCGAACGCAGAACAAGGGAATATATATTATGCATATAAACGCAGTAAGACAGAATAAACATTAAATTTTATAATCTGAGCAAGTTTTCAGTTGCATTTTAAATGAACTCGTTACTGACTTCATTACATTTACGATAAATGATATAATTTTGTTTAATTTTTTCCTCACGTATTAACTTATGATGATTAATGATTTCAATTACAATTTATTCTGTCACTTGTTACAGGAAATTATTTGACCAAATATCATTAATATTGGAGCGCCTATTCCATTCGTTTAAATTTTTCTTATTTTTATACAAATTTGAATAAAATATATGAAATTAAAATATTTACTAAAATTTTTAACAACAATAATAACAAAATTAATATTAATTTAATCGTTACTTTATAGCATTAAAAAAAATATTTTTTTTTAAATTTGTTGTAATGATATTTTTTTCATTTATTGTTTTTTTTCTTCTTTTTTTTTCTTTCTCTTTTTTTTTAATAAAAAGTCGTTGATAAAGGTTTTTTAAAAGACAATGCACGTGAACGAAAAGAAATATAGAAATATAAAGAAAAATAGTAGACTTATATAGTGTTGTGTGAATGTAAATTAAAACTTTAGAGGAAACCTTTTGATATAACCTCTGGCAAAATTCATGTTTGGTATTGATAAGAGTGCTTCACCACTTTATGTGCGCCTTTTGTTTTCAACGGCTTTATCAATTCGAATATATTTTTACACCGCTTTCAACGTTTTATTTGAAATATAATAGCGACTATTATTTCATTTACTTTACATGTAAATCTCTAATATATTCTTGTATTTTAAATTTTAGTTTCGTTTTATATTAAAAATTTGTGAAACCAGAGTAACGAAGGAATAAGATTCGTCGGATCTATTAAAGTGAATTAATAAACAATTGATTAATTTAATTTTTACAATACTTTCATAATTATTTAGAACTATCAAAGTTTAATTTTTTCATATTTAATCGTAATAATTTGGCGAAATTTATGCTTGAAATTTCGTAGGTTTTACTTATATTCGGTAAATTTAATATGACTGAGCGTATTATGTATATATTACTATATATGTATTACTATATTGTAGAAAAATGATTGTTTACATCAAACAATTATAATAATTTAATTCTTTGAAACGTTACTTTTCATAATTCATCCTTATGAGATTTTAACTTCTTTATCGTTTGAATTTATTAATTTTTTATATTTAGCCGTAAAAATTATCTCATAAAAAGCAAGCTAAACCAGCTGTCCTCAAAGCGGCTCATGTACCCTTCAAATCCATTAATATTCGTAACGCAGTCAAGCACAAAAAAAAAAAAAAAAAGAAAGAATCGAGAAACTTAACAAGTAGCGTTTTAACTTCTCATCATAGCACGATCTAATGGGCATTATAAAATGTTTCTTCATGGCCTAACACGCTAAAGACAAAGATCAACTTAGCCAGCGGTATGTCGCCGAGAGTTTGAATTGCAACTTAGTGCATTAAAACTTTGTTAAATGTAATAAAAAAGAAAGAAAGAAAAAAGGAAGAAAAAAAACGTGCATCGCTCAATAGAAGTGAGCGCAA